GTCTTCAAGAACCTATTCCTACAAATTTTTGTTAATTTTGAGGATTCTTCAAAGTTAAGGTAGAAGATTAAAGCATTACCCAAAAGCTAACTGTATATAGATTTTTGAGTTCATATACATTTGTAATATGAAAGAATTCCATCGTGATACTTCCATACATGTACACAATGTACTTTGAGAAATTATTTTTATTAAAGAGACAGTTCTTCATTATGTGCTCTGTACCCTTGTTGAAAATCAATTCATTATACAAGTGTGTAGATTTATTTTGAGGTTTTATTTTCTGTTCCACTGATTTCTAGCTCTGTTCTTATGATGTTACCGTGCTGTATTGATTACTACATTAAAAAAATTGACTTTAGAGTTGACATTGCCTTCTTAATATGAAGGAGTTTCATTGTGATACTTTGAGCAAATTCATACTCTTGCATCAGATTCTCATTCTTCCCCTCCATCTTTCCCATTTTGAAACAAAAGTTTAGTTTTATAGTCTTCATGTATATTCCTTTGATCCTCTTCACTTTCCGATATCCCCCTCCCGTCTCTCCCCTCCCTCTGATCCTCTCCTAGACAGTCTTACATCCCTGTCCCATTACCATTTTTATCATTACTATCATCATCATCAACAACAACATTATCATCATTTAGATCTATTCTCCACAAATAAACAAGAACATGTTATATTTGGATTTTTGAGTTTGGCTTGTCTTACTCAACATGATGAACTCCAGACTCATCCATTTTCCTGCAAATGCAACATTTCATTTCTCTTTATGTATGAGTAATATTCCATGGTCTAAAAGATTTGTTAAACAGTTTAATTCATTTATGCATAGGACATTGATGAGCACCTATTTTACAGGGCCTACATGAGATACAAGAATAAAACATAAGCAAGACAGACATGCTTTCCCTCTCTTTCCCAGCAGTGTAATGCAATCTCATATAGTGAATGCTGAAGGAAAAAAGAACAGACATGAATGATTAGACTGGTCTAGAGGCAAGGTCACCTTCTATTATAATTGCAGAATTGGCTACATTGCATAACCTCTCAGAGATGATTTTGTGTATGTGTGCTGGTACTGTGGCTTCAACTCAGGGCTTTGTTCTGGGGCTTGAACTCAGGTCTTTGTACATTTGCTTGCTGTTTTTGCCCTCAGATAACCATGCCTCCAGTCCATAGCATTGTTTTTTTCTTATTTTTGTTCTATTTTTGTGGTTCTGGGATGTGAACTCAAGGCTTCACACTTGTTAGAGAGACTACCACTTATGACATTGCTCCAGCCTTCAAAGATGACTTTTGTAAAGCTATACTAGTTCCTTTTTCTACAATGGAAATTTTTCTATTATTATTATTTCAAATGTTTTTGTGTGTGTGTGCCAGTCCTGGGGCTTGAACTCAGGGCCTGGGTGCTATCCCTTGGCACTTTTCACTCAAGGCTACCACTCTACCACTTGTACCACAGTTCCACTCTGGCATTTTTGATAGTTAATTGGAGATAAGAATCTCAAGGAGAGGTTGGGAAGGTGGCTCAGTGGTAGAGTGCTTGCCTTATATGCATGAGGCCCTGGGTTCGATTCCTCAGCACCATATAAGCAAAAAGAAAAAAGCTGGAAGTGGTGCTGTGGCTCAAGTGGTAGAGCGCTAGCCTTGAGCTGAAGAGCTGAGGGACAGTCCCAGGCCCAGAGTTCAGGCCCCACGACCGGACCCAAAAAAAAAAAAAGAATCTCAAGGACTGTCCTTCTGGGGTTAGCTTCAAACCTTGGTCCTCGGATCTCAGCTGCTGCTTTTTTTTTTTTTTTTTTTGGTCGGCAGTGAGACTTAAATTCTGGGCTTGGGTGCTGTCTCTCAGCTCTTCAACTCAAGGCTAGCACTCTACCACTTGAGTCACAGCACCACTTCAGGTTTTCTAGTGGTTTATTGGAGATAAGAGTCTTAAGGACTTTCCTTCCTTGGGCTGGCTTTGAACTGTGATCTCAAATCTCAGCCTTCTGAGTAGCTAGGATTACAGGTGTGAGCCACCAGTACCTAGCCACATTTTCCTTTTCATTATATTTTGCAATTGCCTTAATCCCTTCATTTCTCTAGTCTCAATCCCTGCTTGTCCTTCCATAAGACTTTTGTCTTAAAAACTAGTTCCATCCATAAAACAGTGTTTATTCATTAATGTCTGACGATCCATCCTGTGTGTTCTCATTCTTCATTGTATTGAATTTTAAATGACATGATCATTTCTGCTCTAGTAAGTACTAATTTTTTGATCATAGGTAAGCATAGAGTCATTCAAGAGTCAAATTTTCTATGCATTGACTTTTAAAAGATAAAGCAAGCACTTTCATAACCTTGAAACCCTCCCAATCTGTTGTGCTGCCTGGATGTCCACTGTTAATCTATTTTAAGAACCATTTGTCCATGTTTTCCAATCAGTCTGATATTCTTCAGTCAATTTCTACAGTGCTATTTTAGTTTTGTTCTCCTGTTCACCCTACCCATGCATCCATTCTAGGCAACCAGCTTGTCTGCTGTCTAAGGTTTCTGGTTCTTTTCTGCTTCCATGCACTCTCCTACACAAGATGATATTTTTATTATGATTTCTTTCATTCAGTCATATAATGCACTTTGAGCAAATTCATCCCTTCTAGTGCACTTTGAGGACTGGAGACACGGTGCAAGTGGTGTAGCACCTGCCTAGAAAGTGTGAAGCCCTAAATTCCAACCCCCTATTATCACAAACAAGTGGGATTTTGCTTCAGATCTTTCCATGTTTCTAGAAAGAACCTGAAAGTAGTGAAACAGCTTCAAAAATAATATTTGTTTTCTTTCAGCCATTACTTTTAGCACTAGGTTTTGATTCTATCTCAGACCTAAACACTTTTTTCTTCATGCTTTGTTTGAGTCTAGTTCTTTCATTTGTAGACTTGGTGTCCGTGAAAAATAGAAAAGAAATATTCCTCTACTTCTCTCACCTTCTTCTCTCATGAGGAGACAGCTGTAAAAATTCAGAGTAGTACCACCATGTTAGTTAATATATAAGTACCTCCGAAGGAAATTACTATAGAACATATTATTTTGTTCAAGTACTAAGGCTTAAAGTCAGGGTCTCACCCTCCCCTTGACATTTTTTTCTCAAGGTTGGTGATCTACTACTTGAGACATACCCTACTTCTGGCTTTTACATGGTTAATTGAAGAAAAGAGTCTCGTGGTCTTTTCTCCTTTAGATGACTTTGACCTATGATCCTATGAGAGTTCAGCCTCCAGGGTAGTTAGGATGATGGACATGAATCACCAGTTCCAGGCTTTAATGACATATTTTTGACATTCTTAGTTGACCTGCCCATCCAAGATCTCCCACTAAGATCTTCCACCTTGGCCTCTTTCTCTAAAAGCTTCTCTTCTGAACTACTAATTCAGTCTCTCTTTGCTATTGGTCTACTAGTTGTATTATGCTCCTAAGTCCATTGTCTATAAAATACATTGATTCTGATAACTCAGCTCTGTGTTATTTCATAGCATTTCACACCACCAACTTCAGCCCCTGTAATCTATATACAATTGAGGATGAGTTTTCTCCAACTTTCTACAATTTCAGCCTTTATCTGCAACCTTCCGTGTTTGCGCATAGTATTAATTGAGTGCCTATAAAATAGTAATGTGCAACATTGTTGATTACCTACTAGTCTGGGGCACTGAACTAATGTACTGATGCCAACAAGGATGATTCTCTTCTGTTTCTGGTGATTTAATATGTATATTGTGTCTTTTATCATTAAATCCACATAACTGCCCCTGTAATGTTTGCCTTATTATTGTTATTCTTGCTAGTATTATTGTGTGTGTGTGTGTGTGTGTGTGTGTGTGTGTGTGTGTGTGTGTGAGTGTGAGTGAGTGAGTCTTGGGGCTTGAACTCTGGGCTTAGGCGCTGTCCCTGTGCTCTTCAGCTCAAGGCAAGCACTCTACCGCTTAAGTCACAGCGCCACTTCCTTATTTCTGGTAGTTTATTGGAGATAAGAGTCTCACAGACTTTACTGCCCAGGCTGGCTTTGAATCGTGATCCTCAGATCTCAGCCTCCTGAGGAGCTAGGATTACAGGAGTGAGCCACCAATGCCCGGCTCTTGCTAGTATTATATTTAATGTCATTTTTCCTTTACTGAAAGGAAACATGAAGCTTAGAGAGGTTAAATAACTTAACCAAGACAACAGAATCCAGAATTCCTAAAACAGAGAGCAAGACTATCTCTCAGGTCTTTCCACACTAAGACTTCAGATTATAGTTATTACAGTGTTTAATGCTATCAATTTTAATTTAAGATTCCTTTATAACCTTCATGACAGTGTTTTATGTCCAAATAGAAAAACGTTACAAGGTCTTATTTTCCAAAAATAATGTACCTTGGTACATTTTATTATTTTATATTTATTTATAAGTATTTATATTAGTTTACATTTTAGTATTAATCTAGAAGGAAAAAAATAAGGTAAACTTCTCTCAGTATAAAATAACAAAACGAAGACAAGAACATTTCATTGCCTTTGATTTCCCTGTGTATTCCTCAAATACAATTTACTTGTTATTCAAATAAATGTCAGAAATAAGATTTTATCCAATCTTTACTTTTGCCTTTTTTTCTCTCTGAATAAAAACAGCAAGTAAATCTTCTTCACCTGTAAATGTCTGAATACTTTTGCTTACCAATTTCACAATCTATATAACTGCTACTAAGAATTATATAAACTGTTTATCCAAGCATGAACATCAAATAAATCATTTTGAAAGATTTTTAAATGTATATTTCAAAAAGATTGTCTCTGAATTTTTATGATTTGTTTCTCTGTAAAGTATTCACATTGTTAGAAACAAATACCTCATAAATAGTTGGTTCAAAGTGGTCTCCTTTAATTAAGCTTGATTTATTGTTTTGAAATTGGCTTTTGGAGTTTGTATTTCTAATTTTCTATATTTTCTTTTTTCCCTTTTTTCAAAAAAATTGAATTTTAGCTCCTAGTCAGACTGTTACTCTAGTGACACAGTCTGTGGTTACCAAGGAAACTGCCATCTCCAAACTAGAAATGCCATCATCCTTGCTGTTGGAAGTACCTGCTCTGGCAGATTTCAACCGGGCTTGGACAGAACTCACTGAGTGGCTCTCTCTCCTTGATCGAGTTCTAAAATCACAGAGGGTGATGGTGGGTGACCCTGAAGACATCAATGAGATGATCATCAAGCAGAAGGTATGAGTAAAAAAAGATAAAAATATGTTAAAAGTGTTGATTTTCTACTGGTCGTGGTACTTTCCTAGACCATTTTCCACCAACTCCAGGTCAGCTTTCCTATCACTAAACACAAGATTCTCTTTACTTACTCTGTTCAACCTACATATGATCACAGACGTGATTAAATGAAATTATCTAAAGTAGACATAAATTAAAAAGGGAAAATACAAGAAAACAAACTATAAACCTAACAAATCCAGTTAGCTTAGTTACATTCACAAAACAAGTGCTATTTAAAAAATCCATTTGATATCAAACAATTAGCTCAATTGAGCTGTTTACATTTAAACTGTTTGTTTTGGCACTATGCAGCCATAATGTACTGCAGGATCACATATAATGATCTAGGATGTGTTTAATATCCACTCCTCTAAGATATCTGTGCCAATTTTCCTCCGCCAATAATAGCTGTAATTGAAAGTTAGCTATAAACAAAAAAGACAAAAGAAATAAAACCTAAAATGTTTTTAAACCACCTAGATCTCAGTATTGGTGTTTGTACCACGCAATATTCAAATAAAATGTTTTTTTCATTCAATATTCCGTTTATCTACCACATTAGAGTTTACTTGGCAAAATTATGACATCAAGTAGAACTCTAAAATATATTGATATGAGTGGGATTTGTCCAGCTAAAACTAATATCTTTTATATTTCTCAATGGATAACAAAGATGATCTTTGAAAGCTCTATAGATGATAGTCATTTTACTCCTATAAGCTTTCAAGCATTTCTAAAAAAAAATAGTAAATTGCATCTAAGGTGTCTAAGTGTACGGAATTTTCTTTTGAATAAACAAGGAGCAAAAAGGGCAGAATGAGGGGGATGCTATCATGAAATGAATTTTAGAAATTCAGTATGAATACAAATAACATGAAAGTCAAATCTTACACTTAAAATACATGAAGTTGATGACTTTTCTTTTTCCATTTGCAACTGACATTATTGTGATCAAGTCATTCTCCAGAACTTGGTTTCGTTTTCTAGGTACACTTCACACAGTTCACATTTATCCATATGGTGTTAGGTGTGTGTATACAAAAATATATGTCCGTATGTGTATATATGTACATGTATATATATGAATATTTTTCTAGTATATTTAATAAGTATTTGTTGCTACTTTTTGAGGGGGAAAAGTAGCTGAAACTCATAGAGTTCTCACTTGTAGTAGCTTGTAGAGAAATGATTCAAATCTAAGACTATCAAATTCCTAATCCTTTGTCCTTACTTACCACATCTACTTTCAGCAAACAATGACTGTGTAATTACCATATGGTTATATATATATATATATATGTATATATGTTTGTATTTGTAATCTATGCTACATGTTATGCTAAGTATTTTATAACATTGTGATGATACATAAAGAGAAAAGAATTCCATTAGTACACAAAATCATTATACTGATACTTCCAGAACTATTCTTTACCAGAAGAGGCAATATATTGTATTGTTTAAAGTACAGGCTTTAAAGTTAGTTTTTCTAGATTCAGAGCTTGGTTCCTCCTCTACAACTGTGTGACTTGGGATGAATTATTCAACTTTTCTGAATCTGACGTAATTTATCTGTAAAATGAGAGTAAGTAAATATACTCTTTACCATACACAGAAAATGCTTTCTCCTTTGCATTGTTTACTGTAAGCATTCAACAGATATTAGTGAATAATACCAGATTCCACAGAGAACTCCGGAAATTGGCCCCTTAGGACATTTGTAACTTTGGAAATCTACATAACTTAATATTATATGAAAATGAGAGCTTATTTTTATATCTATAACTTGTCTTGCCATTGACATTGTAGCCTCCTCTAAAAGTTCCTTGATATTAGAGGAAGAGGAAAAGTCCATAGTTCTTGCAATGGGTTTACAAAACTTACTCTTATAGACATAGTCAGTTGTCTTTAGAATTCTCTAAATCAATTTGTCCCTTTTAGAAGGAATTATTAATTTGATGCCCTTTAACTATCAATCCAAAGATAACTTTTAAAACAGTTTAAGAGCCATCCCTTGGGCTATAAAGGTCAAGACTTATAAAATATGTATATTATTTAAAACTTTTAAATAAATATATATTTATAAATTCATTCATAAGTATATATATACATGTATCATAAGGATGATTGAGAAAAATGGATGGAACATCTGGGGAAAGGATTGAGAGATTAGAACTAATGTTTCTATCAATCATAACATTTAAGTGTACATAAAATAGTTATACTACTTGTATCTGATTATACTAATTATAATCTTATATTTTCAATTCATTTTTGCTAGGTGTTTGGGTAATTCACTAAACCATAGCACTTGTACTCAATAAAGAATTGAATTGGCAAAGCGTGTTAACCTCTAATAAGACCTCTCCAGGATGAGGTTGAGAGAAATAGTCCAATCTATACAATATGATAATAGCATTGTTCAAGATTCATTCTTAACTAACAATACTGTTGCCAAAGATTGAGTAGTTTCAGTAGGTACACCATATATTTTAATGGGAAATAGTTACTCTGATGTGTCTGATTTTCGTTGTTGTTGTTAAGGTCAATATTCTTTTTTTTTGTTTCTTTTGTGTTTATTTTTGGTTGGTTGTTGGGCTTGAACTTGGCCTGGGCACTGTCTCTGAGCTCTTCAGCTCAAGGCAAGCACTCTACCATTTGAGCCACAGCACCACTTCCAGTTTTCTGGTGGTTTATTAGAGATGAGTTTCACAACTTTCCTACCTGGGCTGGCTTTGAACCATGATCCTCAGATCTCAGCCTCCTGAGTAGCTAGGATTACACATGTGAGCCATGGGCACCCATCTATGATTATTATTTTTTTAAGTTATAAATTCTATTCACTTATTTCTTTGCTTGAATTTAGAGTTTCTGTATATAAAATGATTTTTAATGTTTTTAAAAAGATACCTAAAAATTGAGATCTTCCCTCACTTCTACAGCAAGCAATATAGATAACTAAGTGGTTTTTTAAACTTTGAAACTCATGTTGTTATATCCTAAACTTTAGTTCTTTGTTTGAACATTACTTTTTTCCAAAAAAATTTATTTAGTAAGTGTAATGTAAACAAAGTGTACTACTTTAATTTTCTTTTTCTTTTTAAAAAAGGTTATTGTAAAGGTGGTGTACATAAGTCCTGTAATGAGTACATGTATGGTGAGACAAAGGGTAAAGTAAGTGATATGCACTAGACATTACGTTGAAATTGAACTATACAACTTGTAGGGAAGTGATGTCAGGAGGGGAAAAACTGGGAGAAAATGAGGGAAGAGGTGACACTGTTCAAAAAGTAATATACCTTTGGACTTTGTATCTTACCTAACTTTGGATCCTTGAAGTCTATAAATGAAGTTGCAGTATGTTATAATATGAATTCTTCTTTTATTACCCCTTATGTAGGGGAATGATAGCTACTGTTAGTTGTTTTCGCTTTCATTCCTTTCTTCAATAGATCATCTTTGAAACCCCATGTGATCAAAACATTCTAGAGATATGCTAGTTATTACAAATAAGGGAAACCATGGGACCTATGTTTCTCTGGGCCTGGCTTATTTCACTTAATATAATTTTTTCCAAGTCTTTCCATTTCCTAACAAATGGGGCAATGTCATTCTTTCTGATGGAGGCATAGAATTCCATTGTGTATATATACCACATTTTTTTGTCCATTCATCTACTGAGGGGCATCTGGGTTGGTTCCATATCTTAGCTATGGTAAATAATGCTGCAATAAACATAATTGTGTTGGTAGCTTACAGAAACGGTCAGATAAGTTGATGTTAGATGAAATGAACCCCAAGATAAGGATTCAAATGGTTTTTCTTTCTTGCTATTGTTTCTAACACATTTATAAGATTATTTCTTTGTTGCTTTGTATGTCCCTCCCCCACAGTATAACCACTGTTTTCACTGTATTTGCTGTTGGTATAATTTGTGGATGGGAAGGGCCAAAACAAATTGTTTAAGTAGGGATACAGGTGGACCCATTGCAACAATGAGATGTATATTATGTTGAAAAATGAACTTTACATAATTGTTACCCCTCTGTATGGTATTTTCACAATAATAAAAAAACACTCTAGAGGCAGGTTGGTGTCATTAGAAAGTGAAGTTGGAAAGAGACAGTTGGGTAAGAGATTAGATTTAAATTTAATTTTCTTTGTATATGGTAGTAGTTAAGAATGAGATGAGGCAATTATCACCACGAATATTAGTAAAAGTGTTTTTACACACTTATTCACTTTTCTATATGAGATTTCTTATGTTAAATTGATGTATTTGTAATTAATATATAAAAGTAGATGTCTAGGGCTGGGAAGATGGCTCAGTGGTAGAGTGTTTGCCTTGCATGCATGAGGCCCTGGGATCGATTCCTCAGCACCACGTAAGCAGCAAAAGCCAGAAGTGGTGCTGTGGCTCAAGCAGTAGAGTGCTAGCCTTGAGCTGAAGAGCTGAGAGACAGCACCCAGGCCCAGAATTCAGGCCCCATAACCAACCAAAAAAACAAAAACAAAAACAAAAAAAAACAAGTAGATGTTTAATCATCCTCAATTAAAATATTGCAATTTTTTTTATTTTCTTCAAATGCATACTTTGAAACAACCCTGGTTTACAGTGTTGAGCAAATGGTTTAGAAATACATTGATTGCCTTTAAAGAGATTTTGTTTGCATGAATGTCTTTCATTCATCTACTTTTTATTGAACCCCTCTTGGTGAAAAGCTCCCAGTATTATTTACTCTTGGGGATATAAATTAAGAAGGTGTAAGCACCAACTTTTGAAAGTAAATTATAGCTAGACACCAGTGGCTCACGCCTATAATCCTAGCCTATAATCAGGAGGCTTAGTTATGAAGGTCATGGTACGAAACCAGCTCAGGCAGGAAAGTCTATGAAATTCCTATCTCCAATGAATCATAGAATAAGCTGGAACTGACACTGTGGCTCAAGTGGTAGAG